ATGATGATGATGATGATGAGGAGGAGGAGGAGGAGGAGGAGGACGAGGAGGAGGAGGAGGAGGAGGGTCACGGGGCACGAGCTGGAAGAGGGCTCCCGTGTTCTATGCCAGCGACGGCTCGGGCCTGCACCGGCAGGCCCGAGCCGATGTTGTCAACGCCGTCGTTGCCACCGTACCAGCGCAGCATCGAAGCGTATGCAGACTGGTTGTGCCATTGGTCAGCGTCGTCCAACCTATCCCCATCCCCGCTTTCGGCAGCAAATCACGGGAGCAATGCGTGCCATCGCAATTCCGTCTTCAGGGTGCACTCGTGTCGACTAGCGTCTGGAAATCAACGAGATAGCGCCGATTTCGCGGCGATTGGCGTCGATTCGCCAGAACCAACAAGATGGTATGGGAGGCTCCCGCGAGTTGCCACCGAACCCGCTGGGCCGTGATATCTCAGCCCCACCAGGTCACCCGCCCAGTCGGGGACGTGCTCCGCGAGACCCGAAGGGAACAGCGTACATCCCCATGTAAGGGTAGATCGGCCAGTGGGCCAAGGCCATGCCAGTCGGGATGGGGATCGGTTACACGATGCTCAAGCGCCGATGTTATTGCCGCCCCCCGCGACCCGGCAGCGCGGCGTCGCCGCCGCGCTGCATGGTTGCCGCGTTGCCTCTTGGACGGCTTTCCGAGGCCAGAGACCAACATCACTGTTGTTCCTTAGGTTTTTGACTGGTTTTTGCAGTCTCACTGTTTCGGGCTTCCGTCAACTCAAGACGGCCCAAGAAGCCTCCAAGATGGCCTCAAGACCACCCACGAGGGCGTCAAGAGGGCCCAAAGGCATCCCAAGGGTATTCCAAGTTCGCCCAAGGAAGGTAGCCCTCGGGAGCCTTCGGGGCATCTCGGGAGGCTTGTTGGGGAAGGTCCTCGGGGACAGGTTGGACGCATTGGTCCTGCCAGGCTCTCCGTAAAAGGCTCGGCGGAGCCGCTCTTGGGTCGTCTGGGCGAGTCTCGCCGCCGTCCTTGCGGCCCCGTCGGAGTGGTACTGGAAGTCCTGGGAGTCCTCTGACGGTGTCCACCGCCAGGGTCGTGCCTTGGAATCTCGAGGAGTGGTGGATATGGATATCTGCCCGGGGTCGTGCCCTGGAATCTCGAGGATTGGTGGATATGGGCATCTGCTCGCCCGCTTGGGCGGGGAGATATCGATGTCCACCGCTCCCCGGGCCCCCGGGACACGACCCCGCGGCAGAGGATATAGACATTCTGGCGGCACACGGTGGGCTTGTGGGCGTTCCGGGAATAGGCCTTTGCGCCATTTTTGAAGCCAAGCCTAGGCAGAACAGCGTGCCTTGAACAGCTGGGGCATCCTTGGGCCATGCGGTCAGGGAAACTTCTGCTGGCACCAGACATTTGGCCACACGCACCAGGGGGTGGCCCGAGCGGGGCAGCCTGAGGGGGGGTGAGCTTCCAAGAAGGCGGGGGGGTTCTTAGAAACCATCCCGGCTTCTAGAAGGTTCACCAGGATCGAGCAATTGGTAGGCTTTGGGCGTCTTCGGTGCCATGGGGCATCCGGGGTGGTCGGGCGGGCTCCGTCTCCTCGAGGGAGTGGCGACCTCCGGAGTGACGACCCCCCTTGGCATGGCCTGGCAAGTCGCCAAGGCAGCACCCCAGATGCGCTGGTCATCATGTAAGCTTCGTTCCGCCTCCCTCCCCTCCTGGAAAGGTTCAGGAGGGGAAGAAACGCGCAGACACAATTAATCGTCGATTCCCCGGAAAATATGAATGTGGGAAGTGAGGGGGAAAGACGAAACCCCAGAACATATGAAAAAATATGGGGGAACTTGGGATGTGTGTGTATTTATTTGTGTGTCCTTGGGCCTCTTCAAAGGTGTTGGGGAATGTTGGCTTTCTCTTTCTCTCTCTCTCTCTTTTTCTCTTGAGCCATCTCGGGTTGCCTCTGACCCGTCTCTCAGCTTTGCCAGGCTTCCTCTGGACCTTCTCGGTTGGCCTGTTGGCCGTGAAGAGCACCAGGAATATGAACAAGTACATGGTTATCAATCAACGCAAACTACAAGATCGGAAGTACAGTCGGGGCCCTGAAGAAGGAACCCTTTTCGTTGGGGAGGGGCTCCGCGTTCCTTAAGTGTTCCGCAGCGTGCCTCAGGTTTTTCTTTAGGCTTTCGATCGGAAATCGAAGGTTCAGTTATGGAAAAATGGGGCCTCGTTCCTTATTTAGGGTTCCTTAGGTCAAGGCCCCGACTGTAATTCTCCGAATGCCCCGCCCAAGCCCCAACAACACCCGACAGACCAATGAAGCCTTCCGCGCCCGACCCAGGCCGCAGCCGAGTGCGCGCGCGGCCCAAGCGCCCAGCCCGATAATCCCAAACCGGTTTCCGCATGCGGGGGGGGGGCCTTCGGGTGATCCACTCCTCTTATCATACAGTCGGGGCCCTGAAGAAGGAACCCTTTTCGTTGGGGAGGGGCTCCGTGTTCCTTAAGTGTTTCACAGCTTGCCCTCAGGCTTTCCTTGTACTTTCGACAGGAAATCGAAGGTTAACTTATGCAGAAAAGGGGCATCGATCCTTATTTTGGGTTCCTGAGGTCAACGCCTCGACTGTAATTCTACTCAGGAGGGTGCACAGAGCCTGGTTTGGGCGATTCTGCCTGGGAAGTCATCAGGGTCTGCCCAGTTCGGCCACCCGTCTGGCCTGACTTTGTCCCCTGTTTGGCCTGGTGTGGGCCCCGTTTCGCGCAAGACGTCATCGAGCTGTTCCTGGTTTGGCCTTGGTTTGGCCGTGGTTTGGGCCTGGTTTCGCCGGAGACGTCCTCAACGTTTGCTTGATTTGTCTTCGTTTTGGCTTAGTTTCGCTTGAGACGGCCTCATTGCTTGTTTGACTTGGCCTAGGCGAGTGCGAATCGCAAAGGTACGCACGATAGGGTGATATCTGTTATGGGCACCAGGTGGTTTCAACACACAATGGGATGTGTCATGTGTTCTTCGACAGTGGGTGGGAAATTAACAGACGTCTTGGTGGATGTAAACAACCGAAGTAATGGCACGGTGTCTTGAAGACACATAGTGTTCCACGTGTAACACGACTGCGCTACGGCATGATCGGCCCACGAACCCGGAATGGAGTTCTAGAAACGTGGAGAACGGAGATTCAAGACCCCTGTTTTGGGCGACAGGCAATTGCAATGCTCAAGGTATTGAGCGCGATGTACCGTGCCAAACATTGTCTTTTGTTGTGCCGTGCGGAAATCATATGTGTCATGCTGCAATGAGTTGCGTTGTGCTTTTTAATGTTGTGGATCAAGTCGTCCTTGGCATCCGAATCCTGACCGAAGTGATCTGGATCTTAAGCTAGAGCTGCCGGTGCCAAATTCTGGTCTAGAACTGGTTGCGGTCGAAACGTCGGGGACGCTCAAACAGCTCGAGCTCAAGATCCGATTCAGTTCCAAAGCGAGACGAGAAGAGACGGGGCGCAGGGCGCATGGACGCGCCACTGACTGTGCCAGGGGTGTCCGAGGGGATGCGCCGCGGGACGTGTCAGGGGAAGTGGTAAGGGACTCGCCACGGAACGGGCAGGGAAAGCGCCAACGGACGAGCCAGGGAACGCAACAGAGGACGAGCCACGGGACGTGCCGAGGGGGGAGGGGCATACGCCGTCCCGCTCGAGCCCAGGAGTTTTCACGCTTGCCCCGCTCGGGGGCGTTAGCAACCCACGTGTGTTCACGCTTGTCCCGCTCTGGGGCGTTGGGAACCCACATGGTTTCATGCTTGTCGCGCTGTGGGGCGTTAGGAACCCAAGTGTTTTCATGCTCGTTCCGCCCCGGGCGTGAAGAACCCACCTTTTTTCACGTGTGTCCCGCTTTGGGTTGTTAGGAACCCACGTGTCTTCGCGCTTGTCCCGGCCTGAGGCGTTAGGAGCCCACGTGTTTTCACGTTTGTCCCGCTTAGGGGCGTTAGAACCCATGTGTTTGGACACTTGTCCCGCTCTCGGGGGCTGGAAGCCCACGTGTTCTCACACATGTCCCGCTCGGATGTGTTAGGAATCCATGCGTTTTCACGTCTGCCCCGCTCTGGTGCGTCAGGCACTTACGTCTTTTCACGTTTGTCCCGCCCTGGTACGGTAGGAACCATCTATTTTCACGTCTGTCCTGGTCCAGGGCGTTGGGCACCCACGCTTTTTCACGAATGTCTCGTTCTGGGGTGTTAGGAACCCATGTGTTGTACAAGTTTCCAGGCTTGTCCCGCTCAGTGGCGTTATGAACCCAACTGTTTTGACACGTGTCCCGCCCTGGGGATTTAGGAACCCGCGTCATCCCACGCTTGTCCTGCCCTGGGGCGAAAGGAACCCAAGTGTTTTCACGCTTGTCCCGCTCTGGCGCGGTAGGAACCCCCATGATTTCAAGCTTGTCCTTCTTTGGGGCGTTCGGACCCCACGTCATCCCACGCTTGTTCCGCCCTGGGGTATTAGGAACCCACGTGTTTGCATGTTTGTCCCGCTCTTGGGCGTTAGGAACCATGTGTTTTCACGTTTGTCCCGCCCTGGGGCGAACCCACGTGTTTTCACGTTTGTCCCGCTCTGGGGCGTTAGGAACCCACGTGTCTTCACGCTTGTCCAGCTTTGGGGCGATAGGAACCGACTTGTTTTATGCCTGTCCCGCCCTGGGGCGCTAGGAACCCACGTGTTGGAGACGACCTCTGAGGGTGGGTGCTTCGAGGGGGCAGGGGGCAGTCCACGGGCATTCTACTGCATCTCAAGGTCAAGTTTGCGCGGTGGCGGGTCTGCCAATGACGCAGATGCTAGCACACGGCAGACAGACGGTAGATGCGTGCACGTGGGCTCATGGGCTCGGGTCGCGGAGGTGATCCCAGGTGTCAGGGGCAGCGAGGTTGCTGGATCGTGAGGCGGTCTTGCGGAGGTCCCCGCCGTGGCAGGGAGCCCTTGGGGTTGAGACCTTGGACGTCGGAACACGACGGGGAATGAGCATGCCTGCCTTGCACCCAGGGCTGGCTTGTTCTTCGCGGTCTTCTTCGTGTTTTTCTTCGTCGCAGGCGGAACCCTTGCGTGTCTCTGCAGGCTCTTTTGCCATCGTATCCATCTTTCACGCTGTGGCGGCATCTCCTTCTCCCATCTTCCCGACCTTGTCTAGTCCACATTCCCCCTTCGCGTCTCTTTGCGTGTTGCATCTTATTCTTGGCAGCCGCGCGTGGCAATTGACCAGCCGTAGCTTCGGGAAAAGGATTGGCTCTCACGGTTGGGTGTGGGGGATCCGTGGCTTGATGTTCCACTGGTGTAAATATTATTTGACGCCTTCTGGTGGATAGTGGATTCGCGCATGGTGAGATGTGCCGTTCAAGGAACGCCTCTCGGGGTTTCCTCTGCGCAATGAAATCAAACGTGGTGAGCGGTACCCTGGAGGCCCCCTTTGGGTCGGACGACAGTGGGGCATAGGGAAAACGGGTACGAAATCTGCTGCACGCAGCTGGTCTCGGGCCTGCCGCCAGACGCTTTGCTGGATACATGGGTGCCTCTGGCGAAGAGAGGCGCCGGGAAGACCAGCTACGTGATCTGATCCACTAAGTTGCTTCTGATGGTCACGACGCTGACATAAGGACCAGTTTGGACAGGGAGGGGCTCTGGTCGTCGGGCCGTTCCTCACACCCAGGGCAGAGAGCCGACCTGCGACCGAGGCTCGCCGTGGCCACGGAAAACCTCTTCGATCCGGATTCGGCGTTCCTTTCGTCCCACCCAGTCCTCCAATGCAGTCACGCAGCCTCCTGACCCCCTGTGGCCCTGTGGAGACGGAGGAGGTGGAGAGAAGGAGGAGGGAACGGGAGGAGGAAGGAGCGATCCACGACATCCTCGCCCAGGCCGCTCCAACGTGCAGTCTCCTGAGCGTACCTGTGCGCTCCGTCCACCCGCTCACAGCCAGGACGCCGAGGTAAGGGCCATTTGGGGATCAGGAGGGGCTCTGGTTTTCGGGCCGCTTGTGGCCGCGAGGATTGCTTGTGGATGGCTTATACGCGTTAACGGACACTCGAGCAGAAGAAACAATCTCTCTCTCTCTCTCTCTCTTTTTCTCTCTCTCTCTCTCTCTCTCTCTCTATATATATATATATATATATGTTTTTTCGGGCCGCTCCTGGGATTTACGCAAGTAAGGGAACCTGTCCGTGGCCGACGCTCGCCACGGCAAGGAAACCCTCTCGTCCCTCGCTCCTCGTTCCCCGTGGCAGCACGGTGACCGCGTGTGGATGCGCATGCAAGCCGGATTCGCAGCCGCCCTCGAGCTTTCACAGCGCCTGATGCGCACCGCCTCTGTTCTGGCCACCCCTCCTCGCAGCCTGACGGGGCATCCTGGCCGCAGGCGCCATCCTCGCCCGGCCAGCCGCTCGGAGAGCTGGTCCTCATCCCAGGTCTCCTCTCTTCTGCCTCTTCCTTCTCCTCATCCCCCCTCTTTCTCGTCTTCCCCCCGCCTCCTCCCTCCGGATCCCTCCCTCCGCTCCCCCCTCCGCGACCCTGCTCCCTCCTGAGATCCCTTCTCTTCGGCCGTTCCTCCCTACCGTCAGGGAGCGGAGCGACACGCTATCCCTTTGCAGGGCATAGCGTGTCGCCGGAGCCGCCGCCAGGACGGCCTGAGCACGGGTTCCCGACCGTGGACCCCTTCCTCCCCCCTTCGCCCTCCCCCCTCCTCGTTCCTTCCTTCCTTCCCCGGCCCCTCCGCGCAGGGCTCGCCCGCATGCTCACCGTGGGCAAGCTCTAAGGCGGAACCGCGCGCCCAGCCCCTCGACGGCGGCGTGCCCCGTTTTTTAAGGACACGAGGCCCTCGTCCCGGTCACCGGCTCGGACTCCCGCCGCTCTTCGCCACGAGCGAAATGGCGCCCGGGGGAAGCTCAGAGGAGGAGTTGAGATCAATGATTTGGCATTCTCGCCGAGGCCTCTTGGAGCATCTTGTGTGCCTCTGGGGGGTCTCTTGGGGCCTCTTGGGGGTCTCTTGGGGGCCTCCTGGGGGCCTCCTGGGGGCCTCTTGGGGCCATCTTGGGACCTCTCGCGGCCTCCTGGGCGTTTCTTGGGGCCATCTTGGAGGAGATCGATCACAGGAGGGGGGTTCACGGATTAGAGTCGCCCCCCAAGCAGGCCAAAACGGTGCCAACACCGTAGTAAAATCAATGATTTTGGCTCCTTCGCCGAGGCCGTTTTGGACGCCCTGACACCTCGCGAAACTTTTTGTCCAGGTCGGTGGGTAGGGGGTAGGGGGAGGGGTAAACCCTTCCCCGAAGAGGAAGAAGGAGGGGTGGAAGAGGAAACTCCCTAAACCACCGACGCCCACAGAGCTGGTGGGATTTCCCTAACCTCTTGAGTTGTGACTGCACTTTCGCAGAGTGGCAATGTAGGCCGCAAAAGGTCTGTCGGTGGTAACTGTGCTGGTCGCACCAGCTTCCCCGCCAGATTTTGTAGGCGTCCTTGTTTGCGCGGGCGTGCTCGGCAATGAGCGCGCATGGCATCCCAATTCCCGTTTGCAATGCGCCCTTCAATCCAAGATGTTGTTTTTCTTTGCAAGATCTTCCCATTTGTTCGAGTAAACGTTTCTTCTCTGGAGTTTTATTCGCTTCTCGGGCCCTGCTCCTTTCAAATCCAATGTGTGTTTGCTCATCCACGGCTTCTTCTTTTCTGCTGAAGCTGGTGGGAGTACAGCGGTAGCAGCTTGAGCCGCGTACGCCCCTTGTTCCCATAGATGTTCTACCGTTTCTGGCATCGTCGGAAAATCTTCCACTATTTCCAAAAACCTTCTGCATATAGTAGTCGTAGTCCGTGGTCCCGGCGGGCTTCACGCGCAACGCCTGCATGTTGTTGTTCGAGTGGCGCTTCCAATGTGCATGTCATGGGGCAGGCGACAAGGTAATGGTCTGTGGTCAACGGTATTTGTCGATTGATTACTTTGTTTATATATTGTATTTGTGATGACACAGCCGCATAGCAAAGAAGCATGTCTAATATGCTGTATTGTTTTTCCGTGATCTCACCCATGAAACTCGCGCGCAGGCTCGATAAAGGCGATTTTCTCCTCAATTGGCCGGTTGAAGAAAGAGTGTGCGATCTTCAAATCGAGACCATCGCAGAATTCGATCAGCAAATCACGGTTCGGGGTGCCCGTTGCGCGCATTGCTTCTTTACCCCAGCCATAATCTCCAATAATATGTTCTATTCCATTGCGTGTTCGTCCCGCTCGTGCATTCAAGTCCCCGAAAATTATTTTCCCAACGTTGGCAAACCACTTCCTGTATTCCATATCGAGATCAGCATAGACCTTCAATTTCTCCGGGGTGTGCTTGGGTTTCGGAGGGGCATGCACACATAATGTTACGAACGCACCTTTTTGCATCTTGAACTTGACCCAAATTATTATATCGGAGACTTGTTTATAAGATCTTGTACGTTGCCAGAACGATCCTGACATAATAAACCCAACTCCAGTGTAAGATTGCGCATCGCCTTCTGCACCTCATAATACAATGGCATACCCATTGGAATCGTAGACTGCCGCTTGTTTATGTCGTGCCTCGCGCAAGCATAATACATCGATTATGTGATTTGTCATGTGTCTTGTTATCTCCACCAATTTCTCTTTGTCAACCCTTTGACATCCTTTGACATTCCATGTTGTAACCTTCAGCGTTGAATTCGGTATCTTAGAAATGCTGTTGTCCCCCGAGGGTGAAACTATACTTGTGCGTCTTTGGCATCGTCACTGCGCGGGCTTACCTTTGTCCACCTCTTTTGATGAGTTGGCCGCGCTCTTCTCCAGTCTCTCATTGATCTTTTGCTGTACTTCTTTTCATTCTGGAGCGTTTTGAAGATCGCCCCAGGCCTCCCATGCTGGATCCAGCCATGCTAGCTTGAGCTTCCAATTCTCCATTGTTGTTTTCAGCATTGGTTCGCCCCCAGCTTTGAGAATGCCGGCGTCCCCGTCGACCTTCAAGAACTTCTTCTCGAAGCCGCCCCACTGCGTCAATATATAGCGTAAGTAAGCTTAGTAATAATGACGTAGCAGTCCGTTTCTCGATGGGAGCGTCCGTGTTGCACCAGACCCGGCGAAAACCTTATTTTGGATATTGTTTCCCACGCCCATCTTGGAGAATCGGCAAGGCATGTTGAGATAATGCTTGGGTCGGAAATTCGATGAACAGCATGCCCTTGAAGTCTTCTTAGGGGGGTCCTGTCTTATATGTTTTGAAAGGGCCTGGGCAATGGGTATCCTCCAATACTTTAGCCACCCATTTTCGGCATCTGCGACAATCTTTTGCGGCAGCCCTCCGATCACAAAGCGTCGGTGTGGTATGTACCCCCGTTGCTGAAAATGCTCCAGTAGACCTCGGTGTAGTACCTAGCTCGAGTGATTCAATTGCTTTCCGGAATTGTTCAAGGCGCGCGTCAATGTCTGTTGGTGTACAATCTGAGCGCATTTCTTCCTGTATTGTTTCGATGTCGTCTTCGATGTTCGTGATGCGGATGTTCTGCTCCTCCAAATTGGCATCCACCTTTTGCTTAAATTCTTTGAAATCATGCCCCACTGCCCGGGGCACCTTCATGACAGAGGCCAGGTATTCCCGGAACATTGTATTCATAGCTCCCATTGTAACTGGTGCCTCAGGGTGAGGTATCTGTGCAGCCGGGAGTCGGATTCCTGGAAAAATGTCGTCGCCAATGGAGTCAAAAGTCGAGAGAGCGCGGCTGGATACCCGCCTCAATGTCGACACCATCCATTTTTTCTGCAAAGGACTGTTGATCCGTGCCTCCACGCCGCGCCCGGTAGCGGATGCGGGGTTGGAGGTCTCGCAGACAAGATGAGAGTATAATATGCGAGCTCAGGTGAGAAGGATAGGGATGTTGGATGCTGGATGGTTGATGCTAGAGCCAAAATTAGAATGGGCAATTCTAGCGGCCAGCTAAAATGGGCTCTTCGTGCTTTCCTGGAAGACCTCCTGGGCGCTTTCTCGGCCGTTTTGCAAGCTCATGAGGGCCTTTTGAACCGTCTCGCACCATCTTGACACTGTATTTGGCTGTCCTGGGTGCATTTTAAGCCGTCTTGGACACATTTTAAGGCCATCTTAGTCGTCTTGGAGATGGTCTTGGCCGTTTTGCAATCCTCTTGGGCCTTCTTGGGGCTGTTTTGGGGGCTTCTTGGGCCGTCATACGGTCATATTCGAAGCCTTTGGGGTGATGTTTGGGGCCTTTTGGGTCGTCTTGAGCCGTCGGAAAAAATGCCAAATTGTTTTAAAACCCTGTGGTCAGTCAGTGATGTTGCTTGCCGTTTTGCAAGCCTTTTAGGGGCTTCTTGGGCCGTCTTGCAGCCGGGCCTCCAAATGGCCTACAGTCGAGGCGTTGACCTAAGGAACCCTAAATAAGGAACGAGGCCCCTATTTTCCATAAGTTGAATTTCGATTTCGTATCGAAAACCTAAAGGAAACCTATCGAAAAATTAAGGAACACGGAGCCCCTCCCCAACGAAAAGGGTTCCTTCTGCAGAGGCCATTGCAAGCCGTCTCAGGTGCATCGTTGGAATCATCTTGAGGCCATCTTAGCCGTCTTGGGCGTTTGGGAGGCCTCTGGGGCCGCCTTGGGGCCTTCTTAAAGCTTTTGGGGGGCTTTCTTGGAACGCCTTTTGGGGCAATCTTGAAGGTCCCCGCGGACTAGCAAAAAAAAGTCAGGGGAGGAGAATCTTTTTTTTTCTCAGAAAAGTGACGAGGTCTCGTTAAACCACCTGTCGCCTAAAAGGCTGGTCGGATTGTCCTGGCGAAATCCCCAATCATATGCAATTGTGGGTATCACCGTTGTTGGCATCGCCGTCTGTGGATCTTTTTATGGGCCACGAAGCGTGCAAAAGGTGTGCCGAATTAGGGCGGGTACGCATGCGGGCGCATCCGTGGGGGCCTCTGGTGGCGCTCCATATGGGACCACGAAACGTGTGAGGGATGTGCCGAAATGGTGTGGGGCCGCCATACGAAAGTCGCCACCGGGGCCTTCAATGGAGGTCTCTAGTGAGCAACGAAGCGCCGTACTAAGCGGGGTTGGCACATGCGACACCCCAATCGGGGCCTTTGGTGGAGCTCCTTATGGAGCCACGAAGCGCTGTAATGAGTGGGGTGAGGTCGCATGCGAACACCGCCAGTGGCGCAGATGCACGAAGACACCGCCAGTGGGGCCGTCGGTGGAGCTCCTCGGGGTCACGAAGCTTTGTGCTAACGCACGCGGACGCCGCCATTGGGGCCTTCGGTGAGATTCCTTACGTGGCCACAGAGCGTTATATTTGGTGGGGGCAAACATGCGGACATTGCCATTGAGGCCTTTGTTGGAGCTCCCGATGAGGCCACGAAGCTTTGTATTGGGTCAAGGAAAGGCACGCGGACATCGCCACTTGCGCCTTCGGTTGGGGTCCTATGGGGCCACGAAACGTTGTATCAAGTGAGGGAGACGCATGCGGAGACTGTCATGTGTGCGTTCAGTGGAACTCCATATGGGGCCACGAAACGTTGTACTGGCGGGGGGGGGTCGCATGCGGACGCCGCCATTGTGCCTTGCGGTGGGGCTCCCTACGGGGCCACGAAACGTTATATTGGGCGGCAGGGTCGCATGCGGACGCCGTTACTGTGGCCTTCGATGGGGCTTTTGTATAGGACTGCGAAAAACATGCGTCGGGGAAACGCATGCGAACCATGCCCAAAAGGCCTTGGGTGGAGCTCCCGATGGGGCCACAGAACGCGTGATGGCGCGTGTAAGGATGGAGAGGAGGGGGCGGCGTGCAAACGCAATTGTTGGGGCTCGTGGAACTCCCAATGGGGCCACGAAACGTGTGAAGAGCGTGCCACAGCAAAACGGAGGCGG